AGCTCTGTGAGATATACATTATTTTATCCCCCCACTTAAAGCTGAGAACATTGCGGTTTAGGGATGTTAAGTGACTTGCCTAAGATTATAATAGCTAGTAGGTGGGGAAGGCAGAATCTAGATCCAGGTCAGGAGGAAGCCAACTCACGATTTTAGCTGCTCTGCTGTGTCATCCAAGATTTATGAAACAGGACTTTGATTAGTGACCAGTCTTTTGCTCAGAATTCCCATTTATTCTTTTGTTCTTCTGAGCAAGTGTGCAGCCCACTTTCATCTTCTGCCATAAAGCCTACATTATATTGCTTTAGCACTTAACTCCTTCCTGAGCACTTTCACATCTCTGGTCTCATTTGAAAAAGGCATCATGGTAGGAGCTTGATGAAGATTTTTTTGGAAGACCCTTTTGATCCTTACTCCAACCCTTTAGACAGGATGTTTTGTCTCAGGTTAATGGATGGGGAGACTGAGGTTCAGAGATTAGAATGACTTGCTCAAGATCACCCTTGCTAGTTGTGTATCAAGTCATTAAGAACCCACACACCCTGGTTATGGTGAATTTTCCAATGCATATGTTGCTTAGTTTGTCACCTTCATCTTTCATTGAACAACTGTTCAACTACTTATTAATCACCTGGCATGTGCTGGCGTAAAGCACTAAACAAAAGAAACAAAAATCCCTGCCCTCTAGGAGCTTGTGTTATTATTTTTTTAATGTATCTTTATTGATTTCAGAGAGGAAGGGAGAAGAAGAGAGAGAGAGAGAAACATCAATGATGGAAGAGTCATTGATCGGCTGCCTCCTGCACCCCCGGCTCGGGATCGAGCCTGCAACCTGGGCATGTGCCCTGACCGAGAATTGACCCGAGATCTCCTGGATCCTAGGTCAGTGCTCAGCCGCTGAGCCACTCCTGGCCGGGCTAGGAGCTTGTATTTTTGCATTAGTTTCCTCACCAGCCATAAGACTTGTGCTATAGTTTTTTAAGGTTTAAGATCTTTAATCTTAAAATTTCTTAAGGTATTAAACAGCTGATTTCAGGACATTTTCTAATTACATTAAATTTTTTCTCTTGAGTTCATTAATTCATCAACATTTTATTTTTATTTTCTACTTTAAAGACTAAAAGCTTTGATTCCTTTAAAGCACGCATAAACCCGCTCGCTGGAGGTGTGATGGTTTCTTTAGTAAAAACGATCAGACACCCAAAGTATTTTATTTTGATTGTCATTGATTTTAACCGTCATCCATTCTGTTTTCATCATATAAATCTGGCAGTGGCCTTTGGCCGGAAGCACTAATATTCTGATGATCATATTTGTGAATATTAAGATGGTCTGTTTTTATGTCTCTTTTCTTCACTATTCCGAAGTTAATTGTATGTTCTTCCTTATATAGATACCTATATTTCAAAGGATGTCCTTGAAAATACAAGAGGGTTTCAGTATCTTCAGAAATAGATCCCTGGAATGGTGCATTTTGGAAAACAGTTGTGATGTCCCGCCTCTTGCAGCTTAGTCCTTGGTCAGGCTCATAGGATTATGTTTAGTTTCTGTTACTTTTCCCTCATTCAGAATGTGTCAGATGTTCCTGTCTCTTGCATAAGATTTTATAAATTTTAAAAAAATTGAGAATCTAAAAAATCCCCCCCCCCCTTTCTTTTCTTCTATGTAAAGTGGCAACTACAAGATTGAGCCACAAAATTAATCCTCTGTCATGGAAAGACATTTCCTTTCAAATCCTAGAAAATTTATAAGTAAATTAGGGTGGAGGAACTCATTGCGTGTCATCAAAAAGCTTTTGATTACTCACTTTTATCCTTCCCATTTTCTGAGCTTCATTGTGTTCATCTGAGTTGGGAGTGGAACCCAGTGAATCATGTTATTTTTAAAGGGCATTGTGTGATTCCAACTGGTCAGTTTTTCTAACATTAAAGATTTTCTTTTTGCATCTTATAGCAAGAAACTTTAATAGACTTCTTGGAATTATCCAAAGTATTTATAAACTGACCTTGCTCTTTTCCTACCTGTTGTAAAAATAAGTAGCTAGAACGTATTGTTTGGTGTATTTGGAAAGAATTGTTATTTGAATTAAGCCATTACACAAATGCTGTAGCACCAAAGACTGCTTGTCATCCTGAGTGAGGACAATTGTCATTGCATATGAATTGAATTGGATCAGCAGTCCTAGGTTTATTTAAGTGCTTAGGATGATACATGTCTATTAAGCTTCTCACATTTTTAGTTAGAATGTCAGTTTCCTGAGAATAGGAATTTTGTTGTTACTGAATCAGCATATACAACATCACAGTACATGCATATTGTCTGGAAATTCTGTTGCTGATCTTGTTTTCTCAGAGTTTAATCTCTAAGCTAAGCATCACAAATTGATACCATTTTTTATCCTGTCCAGTAATACTGGAGATTAGTTTGGAAATTAGGTACAATGTGATTTCATTCGATATAATGTTGCTCACAGTGGAAAAAGAATAATGGAAACACCAAACTCTGCTTGATTGCAGGTTTTCACAGAATCCAAGTTTTAGAAGACTCTTAGTGATTTTAGTCTGATCCTCAAATCTTACTTGAGGCCCAGAGCAACCCCACAACTTCTCTGAGTTTAAGTAACATGTGATCTGATGGTGCATATTTAAAGAGCCTGGACCTGGTGGAGCTTATAGGTCTCTTCCTGCTCTAAAAGGCTCCGAGTATGTGCCCCCTTCCTGGTTTGAGATGGGCTTCTTAATGCTTTAAAGCATGGAGCTCATCTGGTTAAATTTTATTCATCCTTGGCAGCAAATTATAATGGCATGCTGTATGAAACCTGGGGTAGAAAGATCCCAGACATGCTTTTGGCAAGTACTGCTGCTAAATTGGCTAGTGCTGATCTTTACCCAGATGTAAAAAGGGGTATTGGAGGGATTTTCCTATTCTTGAAGCTGGAGGAACCAGACTGGTTCCTCCTGTCTACAGGGGCTTTGCACATGCTAACCCTTCACCCAGACTGCTTTCTCCCCGCCTCCCCAGATAGCCATTACATCTTAGGTCAGTATTACTTCCCTCTTGAGCCCCATGCTAGATCACATTCTTCTTATATGAGCTCTCTTTTTCGTTCAGCACATTTTAAGCTCTTTGTAATTACCTGTTTCTGTGCATTTTTGTTTGATTCCATTAGTCCTGTAGACTGTAAGCTCCATGTGATCAGGGACCATATCACTCTTGTTGTGGCCTCCTGATATAGCTCAGTTTTTGGCACTTAGAAGTGCTCAAAAAATACTTGTTGAATGAATCTCCTAAATGTGACTTTTAAAACCCTGCTTCTGAGCTGAAGCAAGGCATTAGCATGTGCTAATTTCAGGTTGTTGTTTTGATGCAGAGCAGGATATCTATTCACATAATTAAAACAATTGATTATATTACATTTGAAAAGCTGAAAGTCTAATGATTTGTTCTTTGAATCTTGTTAAAATTTTCCATGTAAAAATAGCTGAGTCAAAGTTGTCACATCAAAATTCAAACTTGTATCTGCCTGGCCTCCTATCATTACTTTTGCTTAAGTCTTATCCATTGCAGAAAGTCTTCCCAAATTAGCCCTCACCAGTGTTAGTCACCAGTTAGCTAGAGGTGCAGAAGATGACATCGTGACACACTATTGATTTTAAATCGCTTTTATGTTTTCCTTTGTGTCACTTCCCACTTGGATTGTAAGGTACTGTGGGAGCAGTGGCCTTGCAGCCTCAGAGGTAACCCATCCTCATGTCATTCTCTCCAGTCCCCCTCCACTTCTGCCGCGTTACACCTGGAACTGTGCTCTTCCTAAAGCTGAATGCTGATAAAATGTGTTGTATGACAGACAGAAAACTGAGACAATAATCTGTATTAACTTGGAAACTACTTTCAGATCACTAAGGGTAGTTGCTCCTTATTTGCAAAAATAATTTGACTCTGCTGTTGAAAAAGAGAATTTGTGAGCAACACCAAAGAAAATTGTTAAAACAATACAGATCTCTGTGTGTGTGTGTGTGGGGGGGGGTGTTGTTGGGTATAAAGAGTAGCATCATATGGCTCTGCAATTTTCTTTCTTGCTCAAAAATATCTTGGAGATATGGCCATAGAATCGCATATAGATCTACTTCATTTTTTAAACTGCCAAATAATGTTTCATAGTATTACTATACCACTGCCATTTAGCCATTTCCCTGCGAATCGATGTTTAGGTTGCATCCTTCTTTGTTGTGTCACGTGTGTTCCATGAGCTGGAGGGCAGGTCTTGTCCACCGTGATATTGTCAATACTTGATCAATACAGATGCATGCCTGCATGGCAAAGAGTTGCTGGAGCCCTGGATCTGTGCCCCTCAATGTCCCTTTTTTCCCTTCCCTGCAGAGACGTCTCAGNGGCACTTTAATTCTACAGAACCAAGCTGATATTTAGTCGTCTTTAGTAGGCTTTGAGGTAAGGTTGGGGAGTTGGGAGGCAGCTTTATTTGCTACCTAAGTTTTCAAGTGAGAATGCTTGATGAACTGAAGTCGTTGTCAGATTTTTCCTAGGCCCTCCCCTTTCATCATACCATATATTGGTTTCACTGTAAAAATGAGGCCAAGGACAGACCGCTTTTGGAGGAGGGTAATTCTAAAGGAAATGGAAATAGGAAATAAGAGGGCATGTCTTTGAGCATCCTAAACTATTGTTCACAGCCTCAGGAGAGAGGTGGTTGATGGAAAAGGTGCACAGTCTTCACTTACAGTGGACAGGCACTCTGCGCCAGGAAGCAAAAGTCCCCGGCTTCCTTTCCTGAAGCAATGAGAATAACATCATCTTTGGTGTTTACACCCTAAGCTGCCTCTCTGTCCCCTCAGTGTCCTCATCAATGTGTTTTCCCCCTCCTCCCAAATGCTTTTTTCTGCCCACTTCCGGTTTGGGCTACCTCCCTAATGAAAGAAGTGCCTCCTTCTTTTCTGATGCAGTTACTTCTGCAGCTGATTTATTTATTTATCTTTGTTTAGCTCAGCTTGGAACGGGCTTTGCAAAATAGAGAAGAAAATCCAGTCTGCTTTTGGGGGATATTGGACAGCCGAATAAATGCAGGTATGTATATTTGCATATTAAAGACAAAACAAAATAGCTTTTAAAAATGATCTTGAAAACGATCTTGAACTTGTAGGGCTACCTGTACTATATATATCCTTTAGTTCTTAAATATTGGTATTTTAATTTTTGTTCATTTCAAATGTAGAATGTGCTGCTTTAAAAAAATCCCATGGTCTTAGGTGCCATAGATGTTAATAAATGTTTATCTGAAGTAGAAAAAAAGAAAAGAATTTGCTTCATAATTTTCTCAGTGTGTCTGATGGGTTGGTGGTGTTAACCTAAAAATAAAAGGCCAAAGTGAGAGGCAACTAGCATTTAAAAAAAAAACCCCTGAGTACAAAAGTATTGGAAGTACAAAGTACAAGCTAAAGTTCCCTTGTAATCCCTCCTAGATATTTTCCGCTGTTAATTGTATTGTATGTTTTACCAGATTGTGGATATATATAACCAAAAGATCATAATATACATATGATGCTTTTTTTTCATTTTATAGTATGTCATAGACATCTTCCGGTGTTGGTTCATATAACTTTATGTCAGCTTTTTTAAACAGCTGCATGGTATTCCTGTTGCTGTTACTTATTTTGTTTAGTGAGTCCTCTCCTGTTAGACATTGTCAGTTGTATTTTTTCCCCCCATTTCAAATGGTGCCACATCTTGTGTGTATATATACAATTATGCGTACTTGCCTGATTATCTACTCAGGGTGAAAGGGTATCACACTGTCTTTGATTTCTTCCCCTACCATGTCTGTATAGAATCTCAAGGACAAAGGCTTATCTCAAATTAGGAAGCAGACGTTAGCTACTCTGTTTTCCATCTCTGTTTTTCATTGTGGGGTGAAAAGAAAAGAAAATTCTTTTCTTTTTTTAAAAATATATATTGATTTCAGAGAGACGGGGAGGGAGATATAGAAACATCAGTGATGAGAGAGTCATTGATTGGCTGCAGCCCGCAACCTGAGCATGTGCCCTGACCGGGAATTGAACCCCAATCTCCAGGATCCTAGGTTGACGCTCAATCGCTGAGCCATGCTCAGCTGGGCTAGAACTTTCTTAACAGTTGATCTGAATCTCAAAGTAAGTTATGAGCTTAGTCTTTCACCCTGGTTTCTGGCAGACTCTGGCTTTCAGACTCAGTTTAGAGATCAAATGAGTAAAACAATGCCTCTCAGTTTGTAGCATTCAGGCATACCTAGTTTATGCCCCTCCTGTAACTATCTTAGCTCACCAGGGCAGCTAATAGACCAAGCACATGAATTTGGTGTGACTATTGTCCATCCTGTGTGACTTGTTTTGAGGAGCTTCCTTGGGGCATTCTGCAAGCATAGAAGTTTCTGTGCTAGGTATTGGGAAACAAAGATGAATGACACAGTCCTTGTCCCAAGGGAATTCACAGCATGTGCAAATGAGAGACAGACACATGAATAAAGCAGTAGTAAGTCAGTGTTGTTAGTGCAGTGTGCTGTGGGAGAGGGCATCTAACTTAGGGAACGGGATGAGGGTTCAGAGGCAGCTTCCTGGAGGAGTTAACATCTGAGCTGAGTTCTAAAGAGAGTTGAAGTTTGCCCCAAAAGGGTCGAGGTGGAAAGGTAGTCTTGGTCGAGGCATCCACATGAGCAAAGGCAGGAAGGTGATAAAAACGGCATTGGTGGGAGGGTTCGGGGTGGGGGCAGGTAACAAGAAGATGGTGGGTGTGAAGCATCAAGTAAGAGGCTGGGAGTAATAGAAGCTGAGACTAGTGAGGCTAGCTGGCCAGGTCACACAGGGCTTCTGTTAGGAGTTTGAGATCAGTGTGTAGATTAGTGGGGGGCCTTTGGAAGATCTGACTTGTGTTACAGAGATTACTTTGGGGACTAAGTGAAGGCTGGCTTGGCAGGCAGGAGAAAAGTTGTGACTTCGGGTCAGGGAAATTAGGTTGTAGGCCATTGGTGTTGAGGTGAAGAGAGGAAGAAAAATCGTGTAGGGGTTTCCCTTGTTTCCCTTTTCTTTCTGTCCTTGCCCGAGACTAAGTTGCTGAGGTTGGCTCTTTGATCCTAGGTGCCTTCCCCTTTTAGGAAGCTCACATAAATGGCTTTTCTGCAAGTTTCTCACCAGAGGATTCTGACCTTTTCAAAGCAAGGCTGCCCACCCCCATTCTGCCACAGTGTGTTGCCCATCCTCCTGCCTGCCCATGGGGTGCTGGGGACCTGGCTCCATTTATTAATTTTCATGACCCTTCCATGTAGTTTATGAACATGAGTTCCTAGTCATTTTGTGTACACTGTGTAAGAGCCAGCCCTGGGCTGGCTTCTGAGGGCATGAGGATAGATAAGACATGGTTACTGCCTTTACTGAGCTTGCAGGTTAGTGAGACAGACATAAAATTATAAGACAGTGTGACTCATGCCATAGCTCTATTCAAAAATGAAATGATTCCAGTAGAATTAGCAGCAATGTTAGTATCATTAACATCAGTGTTTCAGAATGAACCACATTTTTCAGCTATAGCTTGTGTGCAAATAGAGAAAATAAATTTAAGCCATGCCTAAAATGATTCTGATTTTTGAGAATATGGTCTGACCATAATAAATTAAATAGAATGTGTAATTGATTATTTTCCAGTTTCACCTCTCATAAGCTGTGATGCATTTGATTTTCAGGGAGGGAAAGGGCAGAGAGAGGTACTTACCCAATACTACACATATTTCTGCTTGCTTACCTTCATAACACTCTCTTTACCATTGGAACTTTTAGTACATGGCATGACCATAGTCTTGTTTTCCCTTGCAGTATCTAAATATAAAAGAGGACTGCAATGCCATGGCTTTCTGTGCTAAAATGAGGAGCTCCAAGAAGACCGAGGTGAATCTGGAGGCCCCTGAGCCAGGGGTAGAAGTGCTCTTCTATCTGACGGACAGGGAGCCCCTCCGGCTGGGCAGCGGAGAATACACCGCGGAGGAGCTGTGCATCAGGGCAGCGCAGGAGTGCTGTGAGTACTGGCTGCTGCCCTGGGCTCAGGGCAGTTTTGGGTGGCACATCATCCTAGAAGCAGATCTGGGTGTCTCTGCCCCTGATGTTGAGTGGAGAGAGGCTGGACTCTGGGAGTCAGAGATTCTGCCCTGCCTCTGCCACTTGAATTTTACCTTAGGCCAGTGACTTGAATTCTGAGAGTTTCACTTTTCACTTTCCAAGGGACAATGCTTGCCTTCCCTGGAGGCTTAGTTTTATTTCCCCACATCTGTGAAATTGGAATAGTATCAGCACTAAATGAGCAAAGCACCTAGCACAAAGTCAGAGGCTCAGTAACTGGCATCTCTCAATATCATTGTAATTGTTCAAAACTTCTTAAAAGTATGATTCATCCTGCTGCTCTGACCTGCCTCCTCCTCCCACCCCCACCCATGTGATGCTGAGGTGAAGTGAGAAATTGAGTGTCACTTTGTGGCTTGGTCAGATTGCCAAGTTGTGAAAAGGACAGTGAGGCTGTGAACAAAACCCATTTTTTTAAAAGTGAGGCTCGTCTTACTAAACGTAGTCTGTTTCCTTCAGAAGGCGGAAACCAAACCAAATAACAAAATAAAGCTCTTTTCATTATCCTTTAAACTGGGGGTCAGTGGCAGTTTTTGCCTGCCAACTTTTAAATGACAAAGTCATGTCATAGAAACTTAGAGATCTAATCCACTTAGATCCTGTAGTGGCAACTCTGTAAATATACTAAAATTCATTGAATTATACCTCTAAAGCGGGTAGACTTTGTAGTATGTAAATTACATCTCAATAAAGCTGTTTTTTAAAAAAAATCAACTCAGCCTGGGCTGGGTAGCTTATTTGTTTGGAGCATTGTCCTGTACACCAAAAGGTGGTGGGTTTGATTCCTGGTCAGGGCACACACCTAGGTTGCAGGTTTGATCCCCCGGTTGGGGTGCATACAGGAGGCAACCAATCAATGCTTTTCACATTGATGTTTCTCTCTCTTTCTCTCTCTCTCAAATCAATAAAAACATATCCTCAGGTGAGGAATGAATAAATAAAAAATACGATCAATTCATTTTATGTAGATGAAAAGGTATGATCACTAGCTATGATGACGACAGTCCGCTCCATGTTTTATTTATATCATCTTTAGCCCTCAGAACAACTCTATGGGGATAGTATGATTATTTCAAGAATCATCTTCCTTGTTTATAATACAACTTGTCTAGAAAACCTGTTTTCTTTCTGATATATATCTTTCTGCCTAAAATGCTTTAAATACCAGAGTTTTAATTTAAAAAAAAGAGAGACTGGCGCTATAGGGAGAGGTATAGCAGACCCTTACTAACTAAACATAACACTAGGTAAAATTGGTTGAGCTATAGATTATAAGGGAGAAATGCATTAATATTCTACAGTTACTTTGACTAGATAGCAAAGTATATAAGGAACTGGCTTTAGACATCAGCTTTAAAAATATTTGTAATTAGCGAAACAACTAGATGTAAATTGATGCATCTAAAATATTTTTTAAGGCATCTCTTCTCCCTTGAGATTGGTTTATAGTATTTGTCTTTGCCAAGCTTCTTGCCATCAGCACAGCAGGTATAAACCTCAATTTGTGAGCAAGGATCATTTACACACAAGTGTTGGACTGTAGTTAGAGAAAGGTCAGGGCACTGCTGCTGAGGGAAATGAGCAAGCCTGTGAGTCCAAAGACAGCCACAGTCGCTGGATCTCCTGTAACCCTGGGCTCAGGACCAGCCAGCCAGTTTGGGGCATCCATTTCTAAGCCCAGTCTATGGAGAATGAGCGGTCTCTATTTTAACTGACTCAGGAGAATGTAACAAAAATTTATTAATTTTGAAAATGCGTGACTTTGGGATGCCACACATTCTTGTAGCTCATCATTATTATAGTAAGTGATGTTTGGGGGTGGTATTGTTTTCTTCCATGTTTTTTGCTATTATATGGCAAATTTTTGTATTTTTAGCTCTCATTATTTTGCCTCCTCAGTAGTTGTATCTTGGCTTAAATCCCAACTTTGCATTTTACTAGCTGAATAACCTTGAATCAGACTAAATTTCAGGAGCCACAGATTCTTTATTTGTAAAATGGCAGAAATAATACCTCATTAGATGTAGGAGGATTTAAAGATAATAAATGTAGCATATGTTAGCCTAATGACTGACAGCCCTAAGTAAATGTTAGTATCACTATTATTCCATACTTTTATATAAAAATATATCTTTGATCTTCCTATTTAGAAATACTAATATTAGAATCAGATGGGTGATAGAATTACATACAGATCCATGATTATAAATAAATTATGCTTCAAATATATATGTCAGTGCACATTCAAATATGGGTATGTATGAAGGAAGGCTAGGTTTCTAGGCCAGTCCACAAAAGCCAATTTGTGAATGAAAACTATAGTGTACCTGAAATGTTGTCCAAACAATACTGAACCCAAAAGCCATTTGCCCATGGTCCCAAGAGAGAGTGCTGTTTGAAGTTTAGCTCCATCTTCTCTGCTACAAGGAGGAGAATCACTTCTGAAGGGGTCACTCCCAAATAACTTGAGACGCAGGAATTGAAATGAGGTATTTGATCAGAGGCATCGAGATGTCAAAGCGGTTGTAGCTTCTTAACCCATTGTGCTCATTGAAGAGGGTCCCTGCCTAGGTGGGCAGGGCTGGTGAGAGTTCCCATCACTGCCTGTCTCACTTCAGATGTCTGATTTGGGAACCAAGGACCAGTTACCTCATATTCTTGAATTGTTTTTGGTTAAGTTCACCATGTCTTAGTTTGATACCTGGCTGCACATGAAAATACCAGTCAGTGTTGATTATTTGCAGTCATTTTCCTCCCTTCTCCACCTGCTTTTTAGATTACAGGTCTGTGTAATTGTAATCATGGGCTCAGAAGTGAGTGAAAAGGTCCTTTCCTGGCTCAGAGTCTCCCTTATCTTTTCCTTTTTGTTTAGAGGAAGCAGTTGGTGGGGTGGGGAGGCAAGGGAGCTTATTAGACCACCTTTGTTAAGCATACAGCTTCTTCTTAGTTGACTACTAAGAATATTTATGATAACTCTACAGAGTACTTAAGTATATTTATTATTAATGGTAATAGATTTTAATCACTGACAAAAATCACTTTGGTTATTTATTCTAACACATAATTTCATGTGCTACTACCAGAAACTTCTTTGCATCTTTAATGTATAATCACAGTATGTTAGAGTTGTTTAAACATTTTTTGTATGAGCCAGACTGGGGACCTCTCAAACTCTAAGAATGTTTCTGATTATGATTAGCAAGGTGAACACCAGGTTGGGGTCTGGGAACCTCTCAGATGGCCTTTTTTAAAAGCAGGTTTTGGTAAGACTATGTTATAGACACTAGTGAGAAATATGAGACATACATTTAAAAATGTTTTAATCTGATTTGCTAGGAACTACAATACATATTCCTGGGGAGCCATAGTTGTTAATGATTTTGATTAAAACTGCTTCATTGAACATGGTTGGAAGTCTTACCTGCCCTAAGAAGATATGAATGTGACCTAGATTCTTTTTGGATAAGAGAATTTCCTATCTTTGCATCTGTCATGCATTGGAAACAGCCAAATGTATCTGCCTTCGGTTTTTGATATGTTCTTTACTTTTCCCCAGCTATCTCTCCTTTGTGCCACAACCTCTTTGCCCTATATGATGAGAGCACCAAGCTTTGGTATGCTCCGAATCGCACCATCACAGTTGACGACAAGACTTCGCTTCGGCTTCACTACCGGATGAGGTATGAGTACTTGCCTGGCTTCCTCTTGCAGGGAGGGATGATGGTTAGCCTGGAGCCCTGAGTCACTTACCAAGAAATATTGTAGTCATTTTTGTAATTTGTAAGCTTCGTCAATGCTTGGTATGAGAAAGGACTTCTTCAGTATTTGGATTACAATTCAAGATTAATTTGATCACCTTCCTCTGTGACATTATAGAAAAGAAATTGTTATGATGCAGAGGGTATTTTGAATAGAACTAGTGTACTGTAGCAGAGTTTTTCAAATGGTGAGTCATGGTTATGAATTTATTTAGTGAGTTGTCACCAGAATTTTCTTAAACAAGAAACAGGCAAGAATAGATAATATCAGCATATATACATACCCTAAGAATGTTGTTTTTGAAAACTTTTGTTGGAGATACATATAATACATACGTATGTACAAGGTGATCATATGATAAAATATATTTCTTACTAAAAGTTGCAGCTAAGGAGCTTGAGAAGCACTGCCTAAAGTGGTCTCCTGGAAGTTCTAGGTTGGCCTTGCTCTGGGGAGTGGGAGTGTTTGGACCCATCTCTGAGGGCTTTGTCTAGGGGGGCTGTAATTTTTCTTCCGATGGGTACTTACTTGCCTTTTCTCCCACGTTGTAGACCGTGTTAAATGTCACAAAGCCTCCCAAGGTGGCATAGTCAGTCAGTACCTCATAGCTGTAGTCTCTTGAGTTTATAAACATATTTGTTCTGTACCTAGAATTGAGAGTATGGTGGTTAGATACTAGTTAAACACAAGTTAACATGTATATTTAGCAAAGGAACTCATAAATAGGGTAGGATCTTAACTTACAGAGATGTGATTAAATCAGTGTGTTAGCTCAGGTGTTGATGGAATGCAGGGACAAAAGCCCTTGGGGATCTCAGAGGCTCTCCACAGTATCTTAGCTGCCATTTCCTTTTGGAAGTCAGTAGAGTTGTTTCCATTCCAGAATGGCCTGGATGTTTTTCTCAGAGGAAGCTGAACCAGATTTACTTTTCTTGATAATCATCGTAGGGCTGACTTTTTCTCTTCTTTCTGTACTCACCCAAGGTTTCACCTTATGAGGAGAGAGGTATATGCTATGTGAGATTTCATGCCCCAGATTTAGCGAAACATTCACCCCCGCATACCCAGCTGAGCTTTCTGACTATATTTGGATTTGTTTTTCAAAGTATAATCTTGCTTTCTGTGGCCTGGGGATTGACTGTATCATCCAGCATTTAAACGTGTGTTTGCAGTTACCAGTCTAGGATGGGAGCATGTCATTGAGTTCTGGTTCTTTCCCTCTAGGTTTTTCTACTTGGCTTGAAATCTAGAATGGTAAAATTGGAACTTGGAAGAGACTCGAGTTTACCTAATTCAACTCTTCCAACTTTTTAGGGGGAAATTGATGTCCCAAAAAGAGAAGTGAGTTTCCCAAAGTCACACAACTAGTGAATCACCTTGTTGGTACAGAGCCCTGTTGGAGGCACTTGTTTTTGTTGGTTGTGTGAATTGCCTCACTATAGACAGCTGTCTTTTCCTGCTCCCCAGTCTGTTAGCTGCCAGGAAGTGCAAGTTGCTTCATTTTTGGCACCTTGACTTTGTACCTGACGTTGTGCTTCAACAGGATATTGTGTTTTTACCGCAGACTCTTTGAAATTGGGAAAAAAAGATCCCACCCTAAGCTCAAACATTTGCATTACAACAAACTACAAAAATTTTGAAACCTCATAATCTCACCACTAAAGAAGGTGTAATATGAAAATAAATGTTGGCGACTATTTCAGTGGAATCTCAGTTCTATTTTGGGATATAATCTTGTACTTCAATTATAGTTTTCTGTTTTTAGATAATGATTTTGATAATTGTTTTATATCTTAATGTAAGATAAGCATATTCTTTATTCCTTTTTAAGAAAAAAGTTTTCTTCTCCCCATCTAAATGGATTTCATTATCCATTGGTAAATTTCTGGAAAAACCTGAGGAGAATTTGTTATGTAAAACATCTGTACATAAGCTTAGACTAGGCAGTTATCTGTAACATAATTTTCTCGAGAACTTGCAAGGAAGGCCTGTCTTTGATTGATAGGTCTACCTGTCTGTCTCTTCCTCCTTTCTTATTGCGTTATTCCGCCACATCATTCTGAAAAGGAATCTAGGTAGCTATCATACTACATCTATTTATGATAGTCTTTCTTTTTTCCCATTAACATGTTATAACATTAGGAATTAAGTGTTTGGCCTAAGTTTGATGAACACCCTGATAATTAATTTTAAAAATTAATTCACTGTGCCCTGGCTGGTGTGGCTCAGTATTTAAGAGAGTCAGCCTGTGCACCAGAGGATCACAGGTTCGATTCCTGGTCAAGGGCATGTACCTGGGTTGTAGGTTTGATCCCCTGCCCGGTGGGGTGTTGCATGCAGGAGGCAAGCAATCCATGCCTGTCTCTCACATTGATGGTTCTCTCTCTCTTTCTCTCTCTCTTCCTCCCCCCCTCACCCTACCTCCTCCCACTTTCTAAAAATCAATAAAAAAAATAGTTTCTGGGTGAGGATTAACCAAAAAAAAGAAAAATTAATTCAGTGTAATTCTCGTTTTCTCTTATTAGGATTAGGACAAAATTAGGCAGATGCTGATTTTGGCAGTCACTGCTTTAACTTTGTTTTGTTTTGTATTTTTGGTTTTGTCACCTTACTAGATAGAAAGAAAGCCTTTGACTTGAGGCAATTTCTAGAGATCTAGCTTTGTTTTAGGCTCTGTTCAGCCTTGAGTGGAGAAGCTACGCATTATCTTTGATTTTCTTGTCCTATACTGTCCAAAAGGCTCCTGAGCCAAAGCTGTTCTATAGGGCTCAGAGAGCAGCCTTAAAGAATGTCCTTGTTCTGATGGATTGAAGATTACATTCTGCCCAAAAGGAGTGTGTTGGGCCCTTGGCTCTACCAGGCCCAAGGACTATCTCTCACAGAGATGCAGTGAGATGTAGAAGAAGCCATGGCTTGGACTTGTTGAGGGAAAATCTATCTCAGTGCTTCTCTTTCAGACAATTTCCTCTTTCCTTGAGATCCTTTTTCCTCTTGTCCTAGGTCACCTTTCATAGTGCACATAATTCTCATTCTCTGATCACCATCTTCCTCCACTATCAGACAGAATTTACCTGTCCTTCCTGCCCATCTGTCAGAGCTGTGCTTCAAACCTTTATGTGATGGAGTGTGGGCACATGGTGAGCACGCAGACGCTTCTAGCTACTATCTTTATCATCCTGCATAGACTGTTACCTATTGCTTTCGGGGCAGACCTCCAGAACTTATAGTAGATTTTAAGTTATTGTTTGAATGACAGAATGCTCCATTTTGGATTTTCCTCAGCAGTCAGAGGAGTTGGCCATATCTTTGTCTACGTATCTTTGTCTATTTTTTTTCCTGCTCCAGTGTCAGATTTTCCTGTGTCTGCTCAGCTGGTGGAGCTGGTTCACTTCTTAACTTTCTGCCTGTCGTGGAGAACAGATCCCAGCTGAGTCCTCTGGGCCTGTGCTCTACTCAGGCCTTGAAGAGCAGGCTCCTTGGCCTGAGGACAGCATGAATGCCAGCCTCTTCATCGGCTGATAGAGCCAGGCTTCTGTTACCAGTGCCTGATCCTGTGCCATGTAGGTGGGTGAAGGGACAATTCCTGCAGGTGTGATTTATGCTGCATGTGGACTCCTTGGATATGTGGTACTTTCTGTGTGTGAGCAAGAGTCACCAAAGCCCACAGTCACTTTCATAAGTTACAAGTATAGAGTCCCTGGAAGTTTAAAAATGTTGATTTTACTTTTAAAGTAACTTTCTTATCCATTCTTTCCTCTCCATGTTAATTTCTACCCCCTGAATTAGTTCATTCATTTGATATTTATTCATCCAACAAGCATGTATTAAGCACCTGTTATCTGCCAGGCACTAGGGATTCAGTGTTGAGCAAGACAGCTGAGGCCTCTACCCTCAGAAAGCTCACGTCGTTGCCTAGACTATTGCCATAGCATCTACTTGTCTCTTGGCCTCTCTCATTTCTTCCATAGGGCTGTCTTCCAAGGGGATCCTGCCTCACATCGGCTTGCCTTGTGATCTTTCCTCTGCTTGCTACATATATCCAGGCTCTATAGCATGGCATTTATTTATTCTGGTTCCAGTTTTCCTTCCCCAGCCCTTTCTCCCTTCCCTGCCACCTTCCCTGGTAGCAGAGGCCAGCTTCTCCTTCCTTGGGACTCCTTTGGCATCTTATCTGAGATTCTCTGATGTCCAGGGACAACTTATCTATTAGGCACGGTGCCTGGGGGAGCCCACAAAAGTGTTTAATTTCATTTAAAATCAGGAAAAAATTAATATAATCCAGCATAGATTCTGTTTGTCTTTGTACATACACAGGTATAAAATATAACTTTGCCCTGGCTGGGTAGCTCAGTTGGTTAGAGCATTGTCCCAAGACGCCAAGGTTGCAGGTTCGGTCCCCAATCAGGTGCATATACAAGAAGAAACCAATGAATGCATAAATATATGGAACAATAAATTGATCTCTGCCTCTATCACCCTCTCCCTTCCTCTCCTTTCCTCTCCCTTCCTTTCTCTCGCAAATCAATAAATAGCCCTGGGCAGTGTGGCTCAGTTCTTTGGAGTGTTGTCCTGTACACTGAAAGGTCATAGTTCAGATTCCTGGTCAGGGCACATACACAGGTTGCAAGTTTGATTCTAGGTTGGTGTGCATGCAGGAATCAGCCAATCGGTGGAGGAAGGGAAAAGTGTATGGGGCCCATGAAAATCACAGTGTAGTCCTGCTTATGAGATGTGCCCCCTTGTATGTGACTTTATTATTATTGTTGGAATTGGTTGCCATGTGGATATGTAGACAGGGAACCTCACCAAGGGCAGGGACTGTGCTTTTTCTGAGACCCTTTGCATCACAGGGCCTCGCATGTGCTAGGCTGTGCAGATACAGCACAGTGACAAGTGTCTGAGGTGTAGGGCAGTTCTTTTTGGGGAGGCAATTTTATTTGTTGTTTCTCCGTGCTGTGATTGTTTTTCATTAGCACATGGGCATGTCAAGGGAGAGAGACCAGGAACCAGTGGAGTCTATATCCTAGAGATGGCCTGGGTCAGCTTGGCTCAGTCATTCTTACACATTCCAGGACTCCTGTGCTTCTCTTACAGGCGGCAAAGGAAAGTGGCAGTTAAGAGAACAGGTTTGTAGTCTTAGGTCACCTAGCCTTTTGAAACTTCAGTTTTCTTCCTCTGTAAAATAGAAACAATGAAATCTATCTGGTATAGTTGCTTTGAGGGTTAAATGGCATACTGTATATAAAGTGCTTATTAATTTAATTCACAACACTACAAGCTGGTACTTAAAGTAATTAATGTTCATTTATTTCTCCTGTTTTAAAATTCTGTTTATTATAACATGAATCATCAATTTATTAACAGCAATTTGAGAAATAGGAAACACTGCCATATTAGCTGTACCTTTTGGCTGTGTGATGACACTAGATTACAGAAATGTTAAAATGTGAATAAAATGTTTTAGATTCAAGGCAAGATGGCATTATTAAAGGTAAGGAGTTGCTGGGCTAGCCTCTACTTCATCAGCAGTGTTTTCCTATTTAGGAAGACAGTGAAAGTTACAGGAGCTGTCTTTGTGATCTTCAGGAGGTCACTTTATCTCTCTGAGTCATAGATGAGGTTCTAGCAGGACGTTTTTCACGGAGTGTTGTAAGAATGAAGAGAGAAGGACCTCATAAGCTTTGAAGTGTGCTACAGATGAAAGGTCTGTCTGCTTTCTTCTCAGTGAGGGTTGGCCTTGGGCGCTGATGAGTTCCAGTGGAACCAGGACACCTCTCCCAAATATTTCAAGGTCTCCATTTCCACAATTGACATTATTTTACTACGTTCCAGGTTCTATTTTACCAACTGGCATGGGACCAATGATAATGAGCAGTCAGTGTGGCGACATTCTCCAAAGAAGCAGAAAAATGGCTACGAGAAAAAAAAAGTTCCAGATGCAACTCCTCTTCTTGACGCCAGCTCCCTGGAGTATCTGTTTGCTCAGGTAAGTTTGGGCCCAGGGGAACCTGGAGTTCATGGAATGAGTGAGGCATTGTAGGGTTCAGAGTCCCTGCAGCAGCTGAACTTGGTGGTAGCCAGGATACTTTCTGACCTCTTCTGTGGGCAGTTCTTGCCACCCCTGAACTTGCCCCAAGTGAAGAGGGGGAAGGCAGCAATTCTGTGTTCTAGGGGGCTGTTTATCCCGCTGTGGGTTTTCTAGACTTCACTTGTTCCCCATTGCTTTCCTTTCCCCTTCACCTCCTACCATTTTACTTCTCATCTGCAGCCTTCTGTGGAGAGTGCAGAGGGAACCTGTAAGCAAGGGAAGGTGTAGTTCAGTGGGGCTAACAAAGGCATTTCTCGGCAGTCACAGTAACGTTTGGGGAGGAAGGGGGTGGTCACTCCGAGTCACAGTGGCGGTAGGAAGATCAGACACTAGGAACAAGCCAGAGAGAAGTTAGAGTCATCTAAATTACATTACCCTGAGATAGCATATATATAAAATATATATTCATATAACATTTTTGTTTTTGTGCTTTTTGATTTTACCGTGCAGATATGTGTTGTGCACTGTGTTGTTTTTGAAAACATTTTACTGTTTATATCATTTTATAAATTGCTTTTTTATTCATCCTGTTGATGGTCCTTCACCTGTCAATTTAAAATATAGATCTGTGTTATTTCAATGACTTCATAATAATCTGTTTATTCAACAAATATTTCCTGAGTGTATACTCTTTGCTGGGGCACTGCAGATACTGTGAACAAGACAGACATGGTCTCTGCAGGCATCAGACATAAAGTCAAGTTGGGCAAACAAAAAACAAGCAAGCAACTAAAATGATACATAGGGTTCGGCTGGGCGTGGCTCAGCGGTTGAGCGTCGACCTGGGATCCAGGCAATCGGGTTCGATTCCCGGTCAGGGCACATGCCCGGGTTGTGGGCTCAATCAGTGACTCTTTCATCATTGATGTTTCTATCTCTTTCTCTCCCTCTCCTTTCCTCTCCCTGAAATCAATAAAGATATATTTAAAAAATAAATAAATAAATAAAATAAAATGATACATAGGTAATACGTAAGAAATTGTGACAAAGCACTATGAAGGAAAAAGCTTTTGTGATAGAGAGACCATGGGGAGGGGTGTGCTCCAGGGAGACCTAACTTAAACAGTGTGATCAGGAAAGGTCCCTCAAAGAGGTGATATTTATACCAAATCTTGAAGAATAAAGAGTGTGCAATTCTAAGGGAGGAGTGGGAAAAGGATTTCTTCTATGTAGAGCAAAGATTTTCAACAGCAGCACTGCTGACATTTTGGGCTGGATAATTTTTTGTTGTGAGGGACTGCTTATTGTAGGATATTTACTCATAACCCCTGGCTTCCACCATCCTCCCAGTTGTGACAATAAAAAAAATGTCTGCAGACTTTGCCAAATATCCCCTCAGGGGCAAAATCTGTCCTTTTAAAAACATCTGATATGGAGGGAACAGAATGTGGGAAGCCCTGAGGTAGGTGAGCCCTGAGAAGAATCAGTGTGCTGGAGAAGGGCAGGGCCCTGATAAGGAATGAGACTGGTGGGGGAGACTGGAGCTGATCACACTTGTATGTGCTGGTGAGGGGCTATATTTTCACTTACTCTGAGTGTGATTAAGAGCTCTTCAGAGGGTTTGATTTTATTTATGTTCGAAGTAAATGATGATTCTTCTTGCTGTATGGAAAGTGGATTGTGCTGCAGCTGAGAGTACACTTCAGCTGAGGAGGTGCTCTGATAGATCCGGGTGGGAGAAGGTGCTGGTTTGGCTTTAGTGTAGTGTCAGGAGAGTTACAGAAAAATGGATGGATCTCTGACTACTCTTAGAGGTAGAATTAATATGTTTTGCTGATGGGCTGGTTGTGGAAGGTAAGAGATTTTGAAGAATCAAAGATTTGAGATTTCTGTTTTGGGCAATATTTGAATGGGTAATGGGGATACTGAGAGGAACAGGTTGGAGAAGGAACTGGAATTAGATGTCTTCTTTTGGAGATGCCTGTGAGACATACAAGTGGAGATTTTTGGTAGGAAGTTGAGTATGAGGAGGAATCCAGAGGAAAGCCATCATTTATTTAACTAATCTCTTATTTCTGGACATTTGTGGTTTTTCTCAAGTTTTCCCTGTTATTTTCTCACTGTTACAGGCTGTGTGAGCAGCCTCATACATATATGTTTATGTATAGCGTCTTATTAGTTCCTTAGGACATACTTTCATATATGTGATTTTGTCACAGTTATACTCCAGGTACAACTTTAGTTCCTGATTGCTCACCATCCCATGTGCACAGCAGAGAAGTGTACAGCCTGGGGAAGTGCTGTGCAGAGAAAATGAACTGGCCATTATCAGATTGGTCTTTTTTAATTCAGCCTCCCAGTTTTATATATTTCTAGCTGAGATTTATTCTTTTACCTTTTGGGGAGAGGAAGTATAAAGGAAGAGTGTGCCATACGAGTTGAGTATTGCATTATTATCTGACCTTTTGGAGCTTCAGGAATGAGTTACTTGAGGTTTACAGTGATGTTTACAGAACAAAATAGTTGCGACTTTTGTTCTGCTCTTCACACATTGCTGGCATAGATGATTGTTGTCTGTGTTCAGTAGCATGTGGAAGTGGTCAGTGTTCCTTTCTTACCTGAGAGAAAGAAGAAGTCCTACCTTGGAAAGAAGGGGAACTGCTGTGGTGAGAATCCTCCATCCAAAACCACTCAAGTAAAGTCCCTTCAGGGAAAAAGAGTGGCTTATTTATGTGGGAACACCACCCCCAGACATTATGGCTACCTCTGTTCAAGCTAGAGAAAGGCTAAACAGTTCCCAGTCCTCAAGAGTACTGTATTTTTAAGTTAGTGAAGACTGTTTGTGGATGTAGCACGTATTGAGGAAACACAGCCCTGAGTCACATCCAGGTCTGACTGTTGACCCCACCACTCACCCAGTCCCTGGCCTTCACGCCATACTTTCTACTTGATTTTGTTTTTTATAACTACCTGATGTTATATATTTCTATTTGTTTATTCTTTCTGTTTAGAATGGAATCTCCATAAGGTCAAGGATGTTGTTTGGTTTACTGCTATATCCCTATCGCCTAGAATAACATCTGACCTGTAGTTGGTTCTCAGTAATCAATAACTACCAAATGAGTGAATGAATTTATTTAACCTTTGGTGCCTTAGATTCCATGTTGGTTAGGTAGAGATGATGTTAGTTTACCATCTACTTCATAGGGCTGTTGTAAAGATAAGTGACAGTAAATAAAAGGAACCTAGCGTAGTGTCTAGCACTGAAGTTAGGGTTTCATGAAGGGCAGCTAGCATTGACATTGCCTTCATCACTCTGTATATGGCAGGTGGTGGGTACTGCTTTTTGGTTTTATTTTTTGTTTTTGAAGCCCTCATTGGCTCTTGGAATGCTGTGCACCTCCCATCAGTGAGGGGGTGGGGTGTATTTTGGTGATACATTTTGCTGCTGGAAACTTGAGCAGCAGATGTTGAAAGAAACTTACATGTGGTAATGAGGCACTGTAGAAGGTGCATTCCTTCCCCTTTCTCTAAGTCTACATCAGAATGGTGCTCTGTCCATCGTATACCCAGTTCCTAGACAAGGACGTCTCAGTATGTACTTGTGGAATTAGTGAATGATCAAACCCTGGCCAGCTGTCACCTTCCCTTGCCTTGATGCAGTCCAAGCCTAGCACATGCTACTGTTCACCATTTATATGGTAAGCCCCATGAAGGGGCTTCCGTGTGTTCATGCTGTTCACCATATGCTCAGTAAATATTTGTTAAATGAGTGAGAACATCTTCTGAGCCCCGTCATACCCAGCTGTTGAGAAAGAGCTTTGGTGTCAGACAAACTATCAATCTTTTTTGCTGTTATTAAAAATTTTTAATGTTGACATTATTGCAGGTGTTTCCCCTCACCCCCCTTTGCCCACCTCTCCTCATCCGCACCTCTCCCTCTTTTGGCCTTCATCATACTATTGTCCATGTCCATGGGGTATGCATATATGTTCTTTAGCTAATTCCTTCACTTTCTTTATCCAGACACCCCTACAGCCCTCCCCTTGGGCACTGACCAGTCTGTATCATGTATCCACTCTTCTGGTTCCATTTTGTTTGTTATTTTATTTTGTTCATTAGATTCCACATATCAGTGAGATCATATGGTATTTGTCTTTTCTCTGGGTGGCTTATTTTGCTTAGCATAATACTCTCCAGGTCCATCCATGTTGTTGCATAGGATAAGAGTTCCTTCTTTTTATAGGTGCATAGTATTCTATTGTGTAAATGTATCACAAGTTTTTTATCCACTCATCTGCTGATGGGCATTAGGGCCGTTTCCAGATCTTGGCTATTGTAAGTAACACTGTAATGAACATAGGGGTTCATGTATTCTTTCTGATTGGTGTTTCAGGATTCTGAGGATATATTCCTAGAAGTGGGATCACTGGGTCAAAAGGCAGTTTCATTTTTAATTTTTTGAGGAACCTCCCACTTTTCCACAGTGGCTGCACCAATCTGCATTCCCACCAACAGTGCACACGGGTCCCCTTTTCTCCACATCCTCGCCAGCACTTGTTTGTTGCAAAGTGTCAATTGTGTTAGTCTCATTGTTGTATTGCTTTTCTGGGTAGCACCTCCCTGTGTGGAGAACCTTCCTCTCAAGATCAGAAACATGGGTGGACACTTGAAACTTGAGTGGTAATTCATTTCTCCTCACCTCTGCTCTAAAGGGACAGTATGATTTGGTCAAATGCCTGGCTCCCATTCGAGACCCCAAGACGGAGCAGGATGGGCACGACATCGAGAACGAGTGTCTGGGGATGGCCGTCCTGGCCATCTCCCACTATGCCATGATAAAGAAAATGCAGTTGCCAGAACTCCCCAAGGACATCAGGTAAGCTTTTCTTCTGGATAAAGAATTGATTGTGGGGATGGTGTTATTTTTGTATGTTCTCGATCATCTCAGTTTGACCTCTGCCAGCTTTTGGCTGACCCTTCTTCTCTTCAGAGTACAAATGTTTTTTAGAATATTTATAAAAAGTAGCACAATTAGGATTGTGTCCTGATTTTAAATGTTTGCTGATGACCTCAGAAACTTGTATTAGAGTGAATCTTCTGGGCTGGAGGGGGGTGCCAGTCAAAGTACTGGCGCACATGCCCTCCCCTTCCCTCTCTGCCCATAGTGGGCATTGCCATCTATCATTGCACTTTCTCCTTGTGTGCTGGACCCATCTTAAAATCTTTCTCACTACAGCTCTACAGGTAGCTACTACCATCCCTAGCCTGAACTAGAGTTCAGTAGAGAGCTGTTAATTCTGATGTGAAGGATGATCAACTGTTATCTTAAGGAAATTTTATTTACTTAAAAGTATCAGTTGTGAATCAAGTCTTTGTGAAGAAATGGTCAGTCTGTGTAATTTCCACACATCTATGAAATACAGTATTTTTTTCCAGGGAGCTCTCATGGTTGTCACAAATGAAGACAGCCTCATTTTGAAGAGGAAATAATTGTATGGAGCAGTAAACTTTGTGATAGGCAACATGCATTTTCTCGTAAGGTTACTTCTTGTATCTCTTTGTATCTCCTCTGCCCTTGACCAGAGGAGTCTGGAGCAGATCACGAATGGCTCCTCAGTAATGCAAGGACTGATTAGATATATGCTGTATCACTGCTTTCTCTCTTTTTTCCCCCTGTGGCTTTTACTCTTTGGGTACCTCCTCTTTATTTTTTCAAGAGGCTAACAACTCTCCTCTGATCTTCCCCTCCATTGCATTAACCTAATAAAAATTATGAAACTTGGGGATAAACTACTAGCTGCACAGTTTCCACTGTTTTGGAACCATTCACGCAGCAGGGATTACCCTGTGCCAGTTGCTGTCTCAGGCCTAGAGTGACAGGCACAGCAGTCTTCCCACTCACTTGGCCCCAGTGGACTTGTTCTTTCTTTCATGGGTATTCTTACTCTCTTTAAAACTGGCTCATGGTTTAGCAGTTTGAGATTCTGTTAGTCATAGATACTGCCCCCTTAACCCTCTGATGGATAATATTCTTTCAGTTTACTTGTTGGGACATTTTCACATGGCAAACACTAAGTCTTTTGTATTAATTAGCTTTGATATAGTTTTTCATTTCTAATAACAACGTGTGATCTTCATAGAAAAAATTATAAAACTGCCTGGAGGCATGGGTCAGCAGTTGAGCATCAACCTATGACCCAAGGAAATCGCAGTTAGATTCACTGTCAGGGCACATGCCTGGGTTTCAGGCTCCATCCCCAGCAGGGGGCGTGCAGGAGGCAGCCGATCAGTGACTCTTTTATCACTAATGTTTCTCTTTCTCTCCTTCTCCCTTCCTCTCTCTGAAATCAATAAAGATATATTTAAAAAAAGAAAAGAAAAAATATAAAACAGACATGCAAATAGAACATAGAAAGCACCAATAATCACTCTTGACACCTTTCAGACCACTTTTGAATTGATGCTGTATAGTATGTTTATGTGAGTACCAGTGTGCACAGGAACAGTGACACTAACAAGCAAAAACATAGATAAGTCAATTTCGCAGCCTTCCTTTGTGACCCATAAAATTTGATGATACTCACAGGAATTCCATCTCAATAAAGTCTGTGGAACGTGTACTTTTCTATTCTCTTTCAGTCCCTATTGACCTCTACCTCCTAATGATTATCCTCCTCGGTCCTTACTCCATCTAATGGCTGGGAGTAGATCCTTCTTTCTCATCCGGCAACAAGTGCAAGGAAGACTTATAGACTTAGGTTTGTTTCTAAACTCTTCTCTGCTAACCTGTTTGTGGGGGGAAAAAAACACATTTTTTTCTACTTTCTTTTAGCTACAAGCGATATATTCCAGAAACATTGAATAAATCCATCAGACAGAGGAACCTTCTTACCAGGATGCGGATAAATAATGTCTTCAAGGATTTCCTAAAGGAATTTAACAACAAGACCATTTGTGACAGCAGTGTGTCCACTCATGACCTGAAGGTGAAATACCTGGCTACCTTGGAAACTTTGACAAAACATTATGGTGCTGAAATATTTGAGACTTCCATGTTACTGATTTCATCAGAAAATGAGATCAATCGGTTTAATACGAATGACAGTGGAAACATTCTCTACTATGAAGTGATGGTGACTGGAAATCTTGGAATTCAGTGGAGGCAGAAACCAAATGTAAGTGGCAATAGGTAGCTGATCAAAACAGAGCATCCTGTGTCACATAGTATGTTCTGTTTATCTGATTGTAATTACCTGTTTGCATGCCCATCACCCCTGTCAGCTGAGTTTGTTTAGGCTGGAGACCATGTATCATTCAGCTTTTTTTTTTTAAGATTTTTTAATTGATGTTTAGAGAGAAAGGAAGGGACAGGGAGAGAGAAAAACATCTATGTAAGAGCGATACATCAATCGGCTGCCTCCTGGACACCCTGTACCAGAGATTGAGCCCGCAGCCAGGACATGTACGCTGATTGGGAATCCAACTGGCAACCTTTTTGGTACACAGGACAACACCCAACCAACTGAGCCACACTGGCTAGGGCTATCATTCATCTTTTATTGCATGTAGCAGTAGATCTAAATAAACATTTATTGAATTTTGTAGGGAAATAGAGAAATATAGCAACATATATAATATGTAATAATATAATAACAGCAGATGTTTCCTGAGTGTTTACCGTGTACCAAGAGTACTTTTCCAAGCATTTTACATGTTATTAACTCATTTATTCCTTAAAAAACAAAACAAATTTGAGGGGAATACTGCCATTATCTCTGTTTTATAGATGAACACAGAGGCACAGAGAATTTAAGAAACTTGTCCAAGGTCATAACTAATAAGTGATTATGCCAAAAATTGAACTTAGGCCTCTGGCTTCATGACATAGGATATTTGATTTTTTAATTTGAAGCTTCTTTTTGAAGTATTTGTTGAATGAGGCAATAGAGCAGAGTAGTTTCAAAGCATGAGTTTTAAATCTAAATATACCTGGTTCTAACTAATCGTAGCTTCACTATTTATAGTTACATGGCCTTGGGAGGGTTAGTTATTTCACCTAGATCAGCCACATACTTACCATTAAATTGTATCTACCAGATAAGGTTGTTGAGAGAACTAAATGTCATTTAGTACAGAGCCTCACATATAATAAATGTTCAGTTAATTACTATAGCTGCCATCATCATCATCATTAAAATAATAATATTAAAGGTAAGATTCATTTTCTCCTGTTTTATTCTCTTGCTAAATAACAGTGCCTCACACTTACTGAGCGCTTTCTATATAGTAGGTGCTGTGTTAATAAGAACTTACCTAACCCTCAAAGAACCTTGTGAAGATGTAAGGTCTCTGCCTTATGGATAGGGAAATGGAGGCGCAAAGAGGAGAACTAACTAGTTAAGTAACTGGCAAAGGCAGGATCTTAACCCAGATCTCTAGTCTTCAAGACTCATGCTACACAAAATATTTAAACTTACGCTGCCATGACCCCCCTGGATTATTTATACTTTCTTTTGAAAATTTTCACTTGAATGTTGTTATGAAGTTGAGACAGTGATAGATGGTGGAGAGAGAAAGCCCACGCTCTGTCCCGTTGTATTTGGGAAGAGCGTGTTCTCTGCCTGTTGAAACACCAGGAGTCCAGGAGGGAGGGGACCTGACTGTAGATACCCATCTAGTGTGCAGTTAGTTATTTGCCTTTCTGAGTTTACTTGTGCATCATAGGTTATGTAAAGAGTTTAGTCATCGTGTTCATTAAGGTTTCCTCTAGGTATAAAAATCCATGATTTCCTGATAGGACCAAAACTGTGGCCCTAGCCCTAGGCATCCTCTCCCAGTCTCTGAAACCCAGGCAGGCTGGCTTCTCCTCGGATGCAGGCCCCGCAGTGTCCCCAGGAGCAGTGACCTTCCACCAGCAGAAAATGAGAAAGCCAACTCAGCTCTCTCACTTTTATGCATGTTGTCAGGTTGTTCCTGTTGAAAAGGAAAAAAATAAATTGAAACGGAAAAAACTTGAAAATAAACACAAGAAGGAGGAGGAGAAGAGCAAGGCCCGCGAGGAGTGGAGCAGCTTTTCCTACTTCCCCGAGATCACCCACATTGTGATCAAGGACGCGGCCGTCAGCATTAATAAGCAGGACAACAGGAAAATGGTGAGTCCCTGCCAGAGCTGTTCATCCTGCGTCTGGTGGTGAGAGGAAGACTCTGCCAGGGACAGGCATGTAGCACGTGCTTCTCAGAGGTCCCATCCCAGAGAGCCTGAGGATTGTCCTCCCTAAGTCAGAAGGTCCCTTTTGCCGACACTGACATGATGACGTCCGTTTTTGTTAACACCTGTACATTCCAGTGCCTTGGTCTGGTCTTGCAGATATGTATCCGTTTCAGGGTTTGCTGCCCTCCCAAAGACATTTCTGCAGCAGTACTTAGTTCACAAAATGTGTGGATTTGAAGGAAAAAAAAGATCAGTGAATGTCAGTGTTTCCCCCCAGGGCCCCTGTGCGGCCTCTCTGCAGAGCCAGTGGTGAGGTTGGTAGGAAGCCCCACTTTGCACTTTAGCAGACTGTCACGCTGGTGGCTGTGGCCACCCTGGCCGTTCTCATCGTGGTGTCAGGCACACCCAAGTGACTGTCGGACAGAGGAAGTGGTGCTCAGTCTCACTTCCTCTCTTTTGGTATCATTTGAAGACATAACCTATACAAGCAGGCCAGTTTGGCAGGGGAAGTGGGAACCCTGCCAAAATATACATGTTTGTGTCAGAGAAGTCACGGCTGACAACATGTGGAGAGAATGGGCTGGTGAGGCAGGGTGCCCTCACAAAGTGAAGGTAGTTAACACTAGGGAAATACTGGTTAACGCTGGGAAAGAATCTGGTGATAGGGTTTAGGACAGACGGCCACCCTTTTACAGTAACTGTCTTTTTAAAATATGTCTTTATTTTAATTCTCACCTGAGGATATGCTTTTATTAATTTTTCTTTTTTTAGAGAGAGGGAGAGTGAGAGAAAGAAACATTTATATGAGAGAGAAACATCAGTTAGTTGCCTCCCCGTATGCAGCCGACTGGGATAGAACCTGCAACCTTAGTATGTGCCCTGACTGGGAATCTAATCCACAACCTTTTGGTGTATAGGATGACGCAGGGCGTTAACTTGTCTTTTGGTGTACGTTTTGGAAAACAGTTTGGCTACATGTGTTGAAACTCTGGAAAATATTGATGCCCTGGCTTGTGTGGATCGGTGGTTAGAGCATTGGCCATGCACCGAAGGGTCATGGGTTTGATTCCTGGTCAGGGGCACGTACCTGGGTTTTAGGTTTGATTCCTGGCCCTGGGATCACACATCAGAACATGTGCGGAAGGCAACCAATCGATGTATTTCTCTCTCATTGATGCTTCTCTCTCTCTCTCTCTC